AAACTGGCTATGGAGAACAGGCTGGCCTTGAACTTTCAGTGAGCCTCCAGCTTCTAGCTTCCAACTCCTGGAATTACAGGTGAGCACCATTGACTCTGGTGGTAATCACCATTTGCATTTGCTAATTATCTTCAGTTGTAATCAAGCCAAGGACTATTTGAGAGCAAGAGGGGCTGAGCTGAATTATGCTCAACTGCTTAGTAGTGGCCTCCCACCGGGCTGGAAGAACCCCTAACATCCAGCAGTGTCTGAACTGTAGCAGGAGCTTACTTAGCAAAGCACTTTGACATGCTGGCTAAAAGGAGCAGCCTTTTTTCAGGCTGGCCTGGGCTTAAATCCGGTCTGCCAATTACATGCTCTGTGACTTGGACAACTTACTTAACCTCTTCAACTCTGTTTCCTATCCCTCTTCCTGTTGCATGAGTTCTAATTGGTCTTAATAATAAAACCCAGAGCCAGATATTGGAGTAAATGCTGAAAGATCAGAGAGACAAATGAACAAGCCCCAGCCAACTCTTCCCAAGTTCCTCTCTCCTCCCACCTCATATTCTCTCCGCCCAGCCATATTACTTCCTGTCTGTCTGTACAGACCTCTATGGTTAAGTAGTGGCTAGCTTTGCCTTCTGATCCTCAGGCAAGCTTTGTTAGAGTACAAATAAGATATCACCATATCTTCCTGCAGAATAAGGATAATGGTGGGACACACAGATATTGTGTCTCTGTCACCAATCATGAACTGGAAATGCATTTAAACTACCTGGTCTACTTAACACTAGCTCAGCAGCGATAGTACATAGTACAGTAGCCGCTGTTTGCTTTTGTGATGGCGTGGATGACTGGATGGTGCCCGGCATCACTAGAGCGTATGGGGACTACATAGCTCTAGCCTAGGAAAAGACCTACACTCAAAATCCAGAATAATTTTTCTGCCAAATGTGTATCATTTGCACCACCATAAAGCTGAGAAATCCTTAACTTCAACTATTGAAAGCTGGTACTTAATTTCAAGCAAACAAAACCACACATCACAGAGTCCCTTCCCCGTGGGTGTGGGTGTTTGTTTCTCAGTGTTTATGTTTTCCTTAAATATTATACTCTCTAGTGAGAATTGAAAGTACAGTTTGAAGAGAAATGAAGGAGAGAAAAGAGACAGGGAAGACCACCTCCCTCATTTTGTCACCTACATAATGTTACTTGCTAAAAATAATCCACTTGTCAAATCCCTTTGTACCATTGTAAGAAGTGCTAATGTAAGACATGTGCTTTTCACACTAACCCTGGTGAGGTGTCTTAGATTCAGGACTTTGTTAGACATGATGGCAGTCCCTTTTGGGCTCAAGAGCTCAGCACTATAAAATGTTCCCAACACCTACTAGCTTGCCCTTTTTTAACCCCCAAAGAGAAAACTTGTTTCTAAGATGGGGCAAGTTAAACACTATACTGTATCCGATCCTGCATTAGATACTGAGTAGAAAAGAGGCATTAGTGGAAAAAGCTGGTGAAATCCAAATACTTGGTTGCTTTGATCAGTGCACTGGAGGAAGATAAGATGTTTGTTACCATTAGGGCAATTTAGGTTGAAAGGTCTATATAAATTCTTTGTGCTATATTTACAACCCCGGTAAATCTGAAGTCTTGTTCAGTGTACAGAGTTAACAGAACAAACCAGAACTTAACAGCTGGATGTGGTGGCACACACCTATTATCCCAGCACTGGAGAGACAAAAGAGGAGAACCCTAAATTCAAGGCCAACCTGGGCTATATAGCAAAACTCCATCTTAATCTACTCCCCCCCCAAACACTCCAGTTTAATAAAACAAAGCATTGACTGAAAGCCAGTCCTAGAAAAACAAGGTCTGTATAGGTACTGAAGCAGGGTCTCCAGAAGGAGAAATTTACTCAACTTGATACCCAGATGTGTGATGGATAAAGACTAATGCTGGAGTGCTGCCTATGACAAGGAAACAGGTGGCTGGCTACCTTTGTAGCTGCCAGTGGCTTACAAATGAGAGCCTGCTGGCAGTTTACCAAAAAGGGGGGTTTCCTTTCTTTCAGAATAAGTGAGTGCATTTCAAAACATTTTGGTAGTTTGATTTAACAGACACCCAAATGTGTGTAAATTCTTGTCTTGGAATTGTTTGGTTGGCTTTGGGTTCAGAATGAATTTCTCACTGTGGCATTCAGTTCTCTAAACCCTGAATTAAATTCTATCCACAGTTTCCTACTATTCGAGCTAAAGAGTAGGTGTATCCTACTCATATAATAAGAATGAAAATTTTCTTTAAAAACAAACAAACATTAGGCTAGGGGTTTGGCTCCTTTAGTAAGAGGGCCTGTCTAGTATACAGGAAGCCTTTCATTCCATCGGCATAAAGCAGACATGGTTGTACATGCCATTAATGCCAGCACTTGGGAAGTAGAGGTAGGAGAGTTAAAAGTTCAAGGTTATCCTTGTCAACATAGAGAGTCTGAGGCAAGCCTGGACTATAATGAGACCCCATGTCTTAGGGTCCCTATTACTTACGATAAAACACCATGACCAAAAGCAAGTTGAGGAGGAAAGGGTTTATTTGGCTTACACCTCTGTATTTGTGGTTCATCACTGAAGGAAGTCGGGACAGGAATTCAGTCAGGGCAGGCAACTGCAGAGGCTGTGGAGGGGTGCTGCTTACTGGCTCGCTCCCCATGGTTTGTATGGTCTGCTTTCTTATAGAATCTAGGACCACAATCCCAGGGGTGGTCCCACCCACAGTGTGCTGGTCTGCCTCCCAAGTGCTGGGATTAAAGGCATGAGCCACCACTGCCTGGCTACAACTTAGTCTTATGGACATATTTTCTGAATTGAGGTTCCCTCCTCTCAGATGACTTTAGCTTGTTGTGTCAAGTTGCCATAAAACTAGCCAGGATACTCCCCTGCCCGCCCAATGTGTGGGGTCCTAGCATGCCCTTTATCCCAGCTAGAGACAGAAGGATAAGTTCTAGGCCAGTCTGGGTTGAATATTGAGACTTTGTCTCTAAAACAAACAAACAAAAAACAAAAACAAAAACAAAAAACAGCAAGAAAACATGTTGTGGGAACTGTCAAGGGCTCTTTACAGAATTACAGTGCTCATTCCTTTCTGAACCTCTTTAGACATGTACTTTTACATGTATGCTTTACTTAGTTCCAGTCAGCATGCTTTCTCCATCATCTGTTATTTTTACTTAACACCATTTCACATTCTGATTTCTGCCCCCACAGTGCACATCATTGTGTGCTTGCTTAATGGCTGTGTAGCATTCATTGTGGAAAATAGCATACCAGTTCTTAGGGCTGGGCTTGCTTTCATGAGCAGACCCCAAAGCTTGCTGTCTCTTAGCACTAGAGGTTTATTTTAAGTTCCTGGAAGTAGCAACGAGCATGAGCGTGGGATCCCGTGGGATTCTTGAGTCACCAGCACACAGCACAGTCGGCTTTGTTAACATTGCTCTGCCTACCACTCCACAGCAGAGCCTCCCCAGGCTGCCTGGACCTGAGTTGGACTCCTCCTGGGCGCAACTTCCACAAACCAGATCTGAAACTAACATAACAACAGCAGGCAATACCTGCTGCTTCCTCCCTGGAGTGGGAGGGATCACAGTGCCACTGTTGTCCCCCACAGAGTCTGGAGTGAGAGAAATGTCAAGAGGAGTGAGGGTAGGTTATTACAGCTGAAGGAGTAAGATAGAGGGCAAGGATGCCATGACCATAACTGTAGGTGCATTTGTGAAAGTGTAATGGGCTGAGTGCATGATTCCAAAAGATTGAGTGATAGCTTTCTTTTTCCATACCTCTTTCTGACAGACATCCCAATATTTGGTCTTCTGATAAAGGGTTTGTGGGGTCGGGTAATAAGATACC